TGTGGATACAGCTTGTATGCTTATCTGTTGAGATGTTGATACAACTAGTATTTTTATCTATTGTAAAATGGGAAGTGTTTAATATGAGTCACTGTCTCATATAAGTGGTTGGCCAGGTTCTGAGCCGTTGATGTAAATTGTGAAATTGATAAGAAATGGAAATTGAAATGAAACATGAACATAGTGGTCATGAAATGGAAATGGGTTATGAATTGATTTATGGAAATTGAACATTTATCAATTGCTAATGTCTTAGTTATTGCTCATACTGTGTTTAGCATATCTCTACTGGGCGTTGGCTCACCCTATATGGAATATTATTTTCAGGTACAGGTAGTATGCCACCTCCAAGGACATAGCTTGGATAATGATGAGAGTTGAAGACTCTTTTTGTTTATTTTGTTTGTATTACATATATATCAAGCCAAGGGCTTATTTTGTATAGAGTTAGTACTCTTCTTTTGTGTAACCAGGTGTTAACTTGGAAAGCTGTAAGCCCTTAGGACATTTCCTTTTGTTGTTAACATGTAATACTGCTGTAAGAATTACTCTGATGAATAGAAGTGGCTGGTTTCTTTTATATCAATGCATGTCTATAGTGATGGGTTTTATGTATTATTTTGAGGGCGTTACATCCACTTTATCTTATATTTCTGATTCAATACCATTATATTATTAATCTTCTCTCAATTTCACCATACTCATAATCCATAAAACCTAATCAGTCAAACAAACCTAGTGTGCTTTCCTTCTTCTTCTTCAACTGCATGTTAGGAAGTGGGATCCAACCTCGCGCGTCACCTCAAGCGCTGATATAATATGTCACCTCATAAAGGGTGGGGAGCAACTCATTTAAAACTTTTCTCTCTCTTTCTTTCTTATTATACAAAGTATATTTAAGATTAATTTTATTTTTTTATTTGATCTTTACATTATTATTTTTGTTATTTAATTTCTAAAGTTTTGAATTTCTATTCATATGATCTAATTGGAAAGGAAACAAATAAATAATCACTAAAGCTTAATTTATGAAAAAAATATTATTTCATAATTTAAATAACTTAAACATATAACAAAATATTTACTTTTCTGACTATGAGATTATTTGGCATCCCCTAAATAAATACATTTATTTAGGTCACATCACCTCTATATTTTTATGTACATCTTTTCGTAAAAAATCAAAAAATATACTTATTTTGAATAAACGTCTCCACAACCAATTTAATGGTGTTTGATTATATGATTTTATCTATCTAAATTGCAAAATTAAAAAATTTCCCATCAAGTTAAGTTTGTTTATACCATCTTCCATTGGACAATATAAACAAAAATCAAAATTTTTAAAAATTAAATAGAAGAAATTGATAATTTATAGATAAAATGAAAAAATTAGTGATAGTTTAAGGAATAAAATTAAAATTAAAATTTCTATTTATAAAACAATCTACTTATACATAAAATTTGTAAAAAAAACCTTCACAAGAATAACGTCGTGATGTCATTCTTGCAAATAAATTTATCTTTATGCATGTTTTGTTCTAAAAAAAAATGTTACAAAAATTTATACAAATATTTGTTTATATATCATTGTTTATATTTATATATTGAATTGAATAAATGATTTGTAAAGAATGGTAAACAACTTCAAAAGGGGGTGTACCATATGTAAATTATGATATTTATGTTATTTATTACCACAAATATCATAACTAAATAATTTTCATTAATAACTAAAAAAATAATGAATCATAATTAAACACTACATAACAAAAAATATTAATCACTATAAATTATGAGGGCTGCTAAATGCCCATACTATTTACTTTGGACCCCTCACTTCTTTGTACTCCCACTCACATAATTGAAACCATATCATCTTCTCTTTGAACCCCCACTTTAATACCACATATACCATTGTTCTTTAGACCCTAACTTTTCTTCTCCCTTCTATCGCCGACGACGCTACTTCTGTGAGCCCCTCGCCCTCCATCCATTCTCTTTCTCTTCTTCCTTCGTCTTCTTCTTCTTCCAATTCCCTCTCATTCTCCTTTTCCTTCTCCTTCTCTTTCCCCTCTCTATCTCTCTTACCGTTTTCTCTGGTTACTGCGATATAGGGTTTTTGCGATTTGAAAACCCTAAATTTAGGGTTTGTGTAGATTGTCTTTGCCTTCCCACTTCGTGAGCCTAATCTCACGCCATCCTACCCATTTTTATCACCTTCGTGACCTCCAAAATTGATTGCCTTTAGATCGCGCAATAGAGAGAGAAAGAAGAATAAGTTGCTGGGGGAGAATATTAGGATCGCTAAAGGTCTGGGTTGCAACAGTGAAGGTGGAAGCTATCGGAGGGAATGTGGGTTGCCTCGCCGCCGCTACTTCTCTTCTCTATGTTTCTTCTTTTTGGAGGGGGTGTTGGTGGTTACAGCAGATTCCGATCAGAAAGGTAGCAATAGTGGCGGCGAAAGAGTAGCGACAATAGTAATGCAGCAAAGAGGTTGAAAATTGTCGAAGGAAGAATATTGTAGACTGAGGTGATCTAGGGTTTGGAAAATTAGGGTTAGAAGGTTACAGATGAGGGTAAATTTGAAACTTCATATTTGGACAAAATTGAAATTAAAAAAAATAAAAGAGATGTGGTCGGGAGGGTTTATTTACACACCAGTTATCATCTCAAGACACACCATTAAATAATTTGTTTTGTATTACAATTTTAACCTACGATAAAATGACCAGAAAGGACAAAGGTTATAACACACCATTTGTATAATTACCATGAAGGACAATACTAAATATAATACACATCTTTATTCCCAAACATTACGAACGTATCTTGTCTGTCAAGAATTCAAAAACCCTAAAACAAAACCCAAAACCCTTGAAAGAAACAATAAAAAATATACATATTATTAAAGATTTTGATTGGATTGAATGATGGATGCATCTAACAACACTGATTTGGAACAATAGAGCAGCGAAAAGGTTATTTTTTTCATTTTTTTTTCCGTTTTCGTGTACTCGGGGAGGGGTAAACCGTTTGTATTAGTTTGGTTATATAGAGTTGTATGTTAATGTAATGTTCGACTATTTATTATCGTACAAATTTTTTTTGTTCTGTCAATTACTGTCAAACTTATATCAATAATTTGGTTCATATGTGTCAAACAAATACTACATATCGGTTATAATTGGTCGAACATATGTGCCATGTTCGACTCTATACTGTCGAACAAGTATAATATTTTTTTATTTTTTATTTTTTATTTTTCCAGATTTGTGCATCCACGGAATGCAGTAATGTTAGATCTGAGTGTCTTGTTGACTATACAAGTCAATTTACTACTAATGAGACTCCCATGTCGAAAATTAGTTTTTTTTTTTTTTCCCCCGAATGTTTAATGACTTTGATTAATTTGATATGTAGGTTTTCAAGAGTAAAGAAGAGTTGCTCAGTTGGGTACGGGATGTTGGAAGGAAAAATGGTTTTGTGATTGTCATCAAGACATCGGACTATGGTGGTAGTCATAGGACACCAAAGATATCTCTTGCCTGTGAGAGAAGTGGTCAATACAGAGCTCATAAGAAATTAAAAGCAGATGATTCAAGTAAAAAAATTGTGAAGATAACGGGTACAAAGAAATGCGGGTGTCCCTTTGAGTTGAGGGCTTGTAAATTGATGGCTAATGATGATTGGATGATAGATGTAGCATGTGGAACGCATAACTATGCTTCTGTTAAACATTTTGAAGGACATTCATTTGCAGGAAGATTATCTGAGGAGGAAATATCATTATTAGTAGATATGTCCAAAAGCATGGTCAGACCAAAAGAGATTTTGGTTACCTTGAAACGAAAGGATGCTTTGAATGTAACAACTATGAAAACCATTTACAATGTACTTCATAGGAATAATGTTATTGAGAAAGTTGGAAGATCACAGATGCAACAGTTATTTGGTGAATTACAAAAGCATAATTACATTGAGCGGCATAGGTGTGACAGCAACACGATGACTATCACAGACTTGTTTTCGGCACATCCTGTAAGTTTAGATTTGCTCCGTTCATTTCCAAAGGTGTTGATCATGGACTGCACATATAAGACAAATCGATATCGTCTTCCTCTTCTTAAGATAGTTGCTGTGACATCCACCGATATGTCATTCTCTGTAGCCTTTGCATATCTCCAATTTGAGCGGATTGATAACTACGTTTGGGTGTTAACTACATTGCGTAGTCTCTTTGATGACATTGCTATTCCTGAGGTGATTGTCACGGACAGAGAGCTTGCTTTGATGAATGCTATTGACAGTGTATTTTCTACATCTCGACATTTATTATGCCGATGACATATTAGTAGAAATGTACTGGCGAAATCTAAGAAAATGTTTAAGAGTAAGGAGGAATGGGACAAGTTTATCTCTTTATGGAATTTCTTAGTACTCTCCTCAACTGAGCTTGAATACAATGAACACCTTGCTAGGCTACTTACAGATTTTGATACATATTCTCAGGCAATGCAAGACGTGTCTCAAAGTTGGTTAAATCCATATAAGGATAAGTTTGCTGTATGGACAGATAGTTGTATGCACTTTGGGAATGTTACAACCAACAAGTAATATATATTTGTCTATCTTACACTATTAGTCATTATGATTTTGATTATTTAAACTTAATTATGTTAATGTTTCCATTGTACACAGGGCTAAAAGTGCACATGCAAAACTTAAACGACAACTTGGTTCTAATCAAGTCAATTTTGAGTGTTCTTGGACCAAGATCCATAGTTTGCTTGAGTTGCAGCATGTTGATATTAAGGCATCGTTTGAGAAGAGTTTAATCGTTGTACAACACCAGTTCAAACCATCCCATTTTAGAGAGCTCCGAAGCAATATCTCCATAACTGCATTAGATCATGTCTTAGTGGAGACTAAGCGAGCGAATGATGCTGGCATTGATGCTTCAGTATGTGGATGTGTTGTTCGACGAACACACAGGTTACCTTGTGCCCATAAGATTGCAGATTACATTCGACAGGGTCATCCAATACCACTTGATAGCATTAATCCGCACTGGAGAACTCTTGAGCTAGTACAAAAGTTGAAAAATGATAAAGTGGAATTGAGTTGTGAACCAAAGTTTGATCTTATACTTAAACGATTCAATACATCTGATTACATTATGCAGTTGGAAATTCTGCATAAGTTAAAAGAGATTGCAAATCCGCAAAGTACTTTTCTGATTGAGTCGGATGTGAAGCCCAACCCTCGAAGTAAGGGACATAAGAAGGTAGATGTATCTACGCGTCGAGACCTATGTGCATTTGAGTTGTTTCAGTCTGGACATGATAGCCACTCACCTATGGGCACCTAGATCCCCACACAGGATTCTGTCAAAGTACAAACAAAACGGCTTGCCAAAGAGAAGGTACATGTAATCATTTTTTACTTACATTTTTGTTAATGATAAATTACTTGTTTTGTTGTTCAAGTGTTGATGCCTTCCCTGTTGAATAGGTATATCGGACTTGTACAACAAATTATTCATATGTTGATGCCCTTCCAGTTGGATTGAAGCCTTACATACGTCTTATCAAGGATGTAGATGCCGATGGCAATTGCGGGTTTAGGGCCATTGCTGGCTTGATGGGGCTTACAAAGCCTGAATGGGGTCAAGTCAGGCGTGATCTCCTACAGGAATTTCACACACATGTAGACCATTACACTCATCTATATGGTTCACATGACAGGATTGAAGAGCTGACCGATATTCTATCATACTTTGAGCCCAATCTAGGGTATCACCGTTGGATGACTATGCCTGACATGGGTCATCTTATTGCATCTTGTTATAATGTGGTATTGTACCTCTTATCTGCACAACAATGCCTTACATTCCTCCCCCTACGATTAGTGCCAATATCACAATTTCAACGGCGTGAGATTGCTATTGGGTTTGTTAATGGGAATCATTTTGTCTAGGTATAGCATTATGATTTGTGTAATACATTTATCATTTTGTACTGCATCGCTCTCATACTTAAAGCTTTGTCAATGTAGGTGTTCATGTTACCGGGTCATCCAGTTCCACCGATAGCTACCAATTGGTGCAAGTTTCATCATTCATGTGTGGCTGGATGGGGTACTGCATATAGTCGCTGAGTTGAGCATTTTAAAGAAGTTATTCATTCAGGGGTAGCTACTAGAGAGACATTTAATTGTATTAACCTTGATGAGTAATGATGTATATGAGTTGAGTTGTAATTATGCAATTTAAATAGTTACCGATACATTTTTGTGGATTAGCATTTAAACAGTTGAGTTGGATTAAGCTTTGAGTTAATTTAATGCACATGGTAGTACTTGTTCATTGCGGTGTATCAAATGCATTGGCATAATACTTCCTGTTGATTACCAAAAATAGAAACCATGAATACTTGTTCGCTACAAAACATTCGTAGAGTAATTTTTGTTCATTACAAAACAACAAAAACATCAAAAGAGTACTTCTTTTCCATTACAAAATAACAAAACAAGATTACCACAAAACCAACTACCTATCATGTACTCGTCTCCTATGATTGTATGTCCGAAATGGAATAGAACTAGGTCCAGCCTCATCAATTTGTTGACCCTGAAGAACATGTGATGCCCTTTCAATGGCCTCATATAACCTATCTGGCTCATGAACACTAGCATCATGGCCCGCCTCGATGATAGGATGCACAATTCGTAGTGCATGATCAATACGCTGCATTAAGAACAAATACAATTGTAATTAGCACAAGCCATCCTTAAAACAAAATGTAAACGATATGTGCACAATATTGTCATACCTCAACATCCTGCACATCAGATTGACTATCCTGTGCACGTGGGTTAAAACCAGACCGATGTGCGGGGTTCTCGATATATAAGTGTGTGATGTTTGTATACCACTGCATGTAACCATCAACACAATCAACCGAACGTCTGAGTGGGGTACTCCTCCTCCAAGCAGATAACACATGATTATTCCAACTCTCCCATATCTGATCAAGATACTGATACATCACTCTATATCGGCTTATTGTGACACCTCTAACAGCACGAACAGGGTTAGTGGCGCAGGTGGGATGGTCTAGACCCTACCAAACTGTCTAAGAACCCTTGCAGGATGATAGGGTTCAACTACATCCAGACACTTCAAACAGTCGCTGTAGAATGTGGTCTCATGACATGGGTGATGTTGACGGCAATCTCGATATGGATCCCAAGTAACCTAAGAGAGAAACACAAATGAAATCATGATGAGTGACATGGAATGAGAACACATAATTGAACTAACATTAATTGTTATACCTCATCAAATGCCAATATGTCAAGCTTCTTCTGTAATGCCTATAGGTGTAATACCGTTGAACTAGCTTCCCGACGAGGAGTCCATCGATGCACGTTAGACAATTGTATAGTATATTCCATGTTTTAGTGAGGTCTAAATAGCCAGATAAGCTCATAAATCCATGCCTCCAACAATGTCATGTAACCAGCCATCTGTCGAATCGCTGATCTCATGGCAAATCCCAACTGTCTGTATAAATATGCTAATGCAGCTGCACCCCAAGCATATGTATGAATATCAGTCACATCCATTAACAACTGCAAGTACACAACAGGAACTCTCATCCCACTCTTGTCGCTAAACAGTGTACATCCCAATAGAAATAGTAGATGCGCTTTTGCGGCACAAACTATGGACTCCTCGGTGTCTGAATCTTTACAACCACTGAATTTGCTCTGTAACCACTCCAGTTTTATTGATTGTCCCCTAGCAGATGATAGCTCCTCAGTTGCTTCAGCATCATCAACTTCCAATGCAGCTACCACAAGTGCATCTGCCTGTTGATCTGTCAAAGTTGCAGCACTAACTAATCTACCAATGATAGGGATCCCCAAGATGGTACCCACATCATCCAATGTCATTGTCATCTCACCAACTGTCAAATGGAAAGTATTTGTCTCTGGTTGCCATCGCTCAACAAATGCAGAAATGACAATCCTATTCACGAACCGATATGTGCAATAGACCAAAAAAGATAGGCTTGACTGTTGCATAATGTCTCTAAACCTTCTATTGTCGGTTCTTGACCACCACCGCCACTCAAGAATCTTGGACGCATGATTATAACACCTTAAGGGGTTCCTCTCCTGCAAGGTAATTAATAATTAACATAAATAATGTGGTTCAATAAATAATTAAATGAATGAAACATGGTAAAAAATATATACTACCTTCTGATCCCATATAGCTGTTGCAATATGTGCCTTGAAGCTCTTCAGTATTGATGGATCTGATGGCCCCTCAGGAAACGGACCAATGAGTACCTCCTCAACTTGATCAACATCAGCAGCATCATCGTCATCCCCTGAACCATTATCAATCACATCCTCTTCCAAGATTTGAGGTGCTTCCTTCAACACAACATCATCACCCCAACCTCTATCCCGACCCCGACCTCGACCTTGGGCACGAGCAGGATTTGTTAATGCACGACGTTGTCTCTCTGAGGCACTGGGTGGAATACGTGAAGGGTCGTCCATTTTTGAAAATGAAACAAAAAACAATAAAGTTAACAGAAGTAACACAAATCATTTATGTTAAAATACTCACACCTATGAAGCACCAACACTTCAAGAAAGATGCCATAGCGGTGTCAAACGTGGGGACACAACAAGGATATGTATGGGACACGCCACGTGGCATGTCCCTTTATTTAATTGAATTGCTTCTAAGGGACATGACAAGGATATATAAACACATTTAATTAATGCTCATTTTTGGTGTGCAACCACTGCTACATTCACTGTATTTTTTTTATTAATTAATTAGTAAATTGAATTGTTAAATGATGGCCAACTATCTCCCACCAAATTCAAACAAGAACTGCTCACCTAATAATACTATATATCTAAAGGTGACACTAAATCTTGTGACCAAAGAGTTCATATTCAAACATATATTATTATATGTGAAAAATTGCAGACAAATTGGTTTTGACAAGCAAGAAAGTCTCAACAACACAATTCACGTGAATTTTTCCTATATGTTTTCATTTCAATTTTGCCCAATGTTTTCAAGAGCACAAGTCATGTTTTCTAGTCATAGATGTTATTTTCATGACAACAACAGTTGAATAAAACTTTTAAGTATCATCTTCACTTTCCAGCTTTTATAAGATTTTCACCATAAAATCTTTTCAAAATCATCGAGGTGGCAGTCTTGTTGATATTATTAAGAAAACTAATGGATCTGAGATGTCGTGTTAGTAGTAAAATAATCCCACGTCAAATGTTGGTTTTCTTTAGCAATATAAGAATGATTCATGTCAAAGTGACAATCATTTTCTTTTTCTTTTAATTTTCCTTTTAGTTTTATTTTTATTTTTATTTTTATGCACCACATCAATCGATATCATTCACAATGTACTAGCAGTATAGTTAACATAGTTGTGATAGTGAAGAAAAAGAGAGAGAGAGAGAGAGAGAGAGAGAGAGAGAGAGAGAAAGAAAACACTTTATAGCAAAATTGGCCGAAATTGGCTATGAAAGGCTATATCCTTTGTAAATTCGGTCGTGATTCGTGAATCAGTTATCAATCAATATGTATTGTGAACAAGTTGAGATCTCATCATTATGTTTAGGTGTAGGGACCTGCATTTTTTAAACTATGATTTCTTCCTGTTAATTATATGTTTTATGTTTTTTGCAAAATTAGCAACAGTGTAAATCCCAAATTACACTTCACCACGATTTTTTTTTTCATTTTTTTTTAAATTATTAAAGTATTTTCTTTATATGCCTACAAAGTGAGACTATTTTTTCACACTAGAGAAAACCATGCACATAGACACACTGCCATCTATTTAATAGAAAGTCAACAACAATGCGAGTAACACAAAAAACATAACATAGACTTGAATACAGAGAACACCTAAATGGATAAGATTTTAAAAAATTTATCGATGAAGTCTGTTTTTCAAAAATCTTATCCATTTATTTATTTTCTTTGTTCGATTCTACATTTAGTTTTTGTGTTCATCAACTTCTATAAAGATATATTGGCTATATCGATTTATTAGAAACTTTCCCAATGTGGGGGAAATTAAGGGAGGGGGGGGGAACCATATATTGTTCGACAGTAAAGAATTGAACAAAGCATTAATAGTTCAACATTCTAGGTCCGAACAAGTTCAAAAATAACAAGCTGGACAAAATGATTTTGTTCGAAAGTCAAGTATCAAACGAGCCCGTACAGCTTTTGGGGTTCGAAATTACAGTGTCGAACGGTTTGGAACTGATTCATTCATGGCAATGGTAAAAGTAAAAAGTACATAAAACCCTAAAATCTAAGCCAAATGAGAACTCACCTAATGCTTTACTTGAGCACCAACGACGTCTTTACCACTGCTTTACTCTATGTTGAGCACCAACACAGTGTTCACCGGTTGAAACAGAGAATGAGGGGGGGGAGGAGTTGGAAGAAGGCGGGTGTATGGGGGTGTGTAAGTGAGTGAGGGTAAATATGGGAGTTTGTGTGTACATTGTTGTGGATGGGTGTGTGAGTAAGGGTAAATATGCAAATTTGTGGTGTGTAATGAGCAAAATATGTATTTACCAAATTATTAAAGGTGTGCCTTTAGAAGTGGTTTGTCTTGAGATAAATTATGGTGTGTAAATAGAGGCACCCGAAAAATTAACTTAATGACAATTATATCCTAATTAAAAATTACTATAATAGACATCTATCAACACCCCTAATATTATATACATAAATTCTTTATACACATCTTTTAGGAACAAAAATATCTCAATATACACATTTTGAATGAAAACAATTAAACCCTAATTTTTCTATTGTGGTCACTTTGCTTGTTACACACTCTATGCAATACTTTCAAAACATCTCCCATATTGCTTTAATCTCTAGGTTTATACTCTACTATTTACATCGTTTAATTATTAGTTTCATAATTTTTACTTGATTTTGATATGGAAAAGTTGCAAACCTATGGAAGTTCAAACTCAAGCAAAAATATATATGATGACACCAAAATCAGTGCTGAAAAGGTTAGTTTTTTCGCGTAGTAATTTTTATTTTTTTTGCAGTTTTTAGTCGGATAGCCCCAATGTGGAATTTTATCAAAATATTTGAAAATCAACTTCTGAAATAATAGTCATATTTCGATATATAAGTTCCGAATTTTTGATAAATTTCGATACTTAAATTCTGAAACTTGAGATTTATTTCTATTTTTAAGTGCCAAAATTTATAATTTTGTTCGGCTATAGCGTGCCAAATTATTTCCTTTTTTTCGGCTTTTTAGTGCCGAATTATTCTATTATTTTCAGCTTTGTACAACCGAATGAAAATTGTTTTCTTCAGATCACATCCACTGAAGAAACTGAGGTTCGATCGGATATTATGGTGGATTTTACTAGTCATTTTACTGCTAAACAGGAAACGTTTAACATGAAATTCGTAAGTTCATAATTTTTATTAATTAGTTTGTTTAGTTTGTTCTTATGAAAGTTGTGTGACATTATATATAGGTTTTCGACAGCAAAGATGAATTGCTCACTTGGGTACGTGATATTGGAAGGGCAAATGTACGTGATATTGTTATAAGGACATCGGACTATGGTGGCGGTACCAAGAGACCAAAAATTTATCTTGCTTGTGAGCGGAGTGGGAAGTATAGATCACGTAAAAAGTTGAAAGATGGCTCAAAAGGCTTATTGAGACAAACTGGTACGGAGAAGTGCGAATGTCCATTTGATTTGAAGGCATAAAAGTTGAAAACAAATGATGAATAGATATTGAATGTCGTTTGTGGATTGCATAATCATCGAGCTGCGGAGCATCTCCGAGGACATTCATATTCAGGGAGATTGTCAGCCAATGAAAAGTCGTTGTTAGTAGATATGTCAAAGAGCCTAGTAAGACCAAAAGAGATACTCATTACACTCAAACAGAGGGATGCCCTTAATATGAGCACAATGAAGACAGTTTACAATGTACGACATCGATGTAGGGTTCTACAGAAAGCTGGTAGATCCCAGATGCAACAACTACTGGGTGAATTAGCAAAACATAAGTACATTGAGCATTATCAATGTGAGGAAGGCTCTATGACTGTCACAGACTTGTTTTGGGCACA